CTTTAGTATCTTAGCATTAGTGTTTTTAATATTTTGCTCCCACTTGAAAATGTGGTTGGTAAATTATTAACACGTTTAGAGCATTTTGAACACGTTAAATAACTTACACCCATAAATATTAAAATGGAATATTTCTGAGGAGCTTTGTGGCTGATGTTTATTCATTGCATGTTCTTCATTTTAATATCCTCATCAGGATTACATCCACCTGCAAATATGAAAGGAGTGAGGTCCCTGCATCTGAATGAAATAACTTAATGAGCTTTTTAATATTTAAGGGTTTGAATATAAAGTGGGTATGTGTGAGGAAGCAAAGCAAGAAAAAATATATGGCTGCCTGTTTTTTAAAAGTTCTGTTGCCCTGAAGAGCAAAACTACCAGAGTAGACAGTTCATATATATTATATAACTTTTTTCTAACTATAACACCTTAATTTTGATCATTTTAATAAATGGGCAATGTTAAGTTGTACTTGTGGTGGTTTTACAAAACCAAAAAAGAATTAATTGATTTACCAAGAAGCTAAAAATATAAATTCAAGATTAATCCATGATGAAAATAATCTTTAGGTTCTTGTGTAAAACAGGTGAAATGAGCCCAACTTCAATTTACAACTATAACAACACATTTACACGTTGATGCATGAGTCACAATAATCAAATGATATTCTATCAATATAACTGAGCACGTTTCTGGATGAGCAAATGTGGAGAAAATCCTCCATCGAGCTTAAACTGTGCCGTTACTATAGTAACCATATTTTTATCCTCTGAACTGAGTGAGGCACAACCATTTGAGATGGTCACTGATGACATCATCAGAGGTTGACGGGAACACAGCTGTCTTTTTATTGCTCCAAGTACTTTTACTAGTACGTTTTCCTGATGATACATTTTCACATCTTTCGTGAGTTTTAATTGTATTGAAGCTTCTTTACAGTGTGGTATAAGTACCTTTAAATGATTGGTTGGTTGGTTGGTTTGTGTGTGTGTGTGTGTATATATATATACTGTATATATAAAAGCCTTGAAAGTAAGAAACAGGAGTCTGAGTTACTGAAATGATATCATGACAATTCATTTTAATGTTGGTGTTATACAGGAGGTGTTTCTCACGCGCAGGTAAAGACGGCGCATGCAACACATGATTCTGTCCTGTCACACTGTTTCTTCGGCTTGCTTTATAAAAGTTGCCCTCATTCTCCTCTTCTTCTCCTCCTTCCTTTTGCATAGTAAACACTTTATTCTCCCCTGTTTTCCCCTTCTCCCTCTTGTTTTACTGATCTCATTTCCCAGTTCCTTCTCTCTAAAACTATACTGATGTGAATGCCAGCTGGAGAAAAGTGGAGATTAGAGAAGGACAACGAAAGAACGAGAGATCAAATGAAGGGGTAATGGGAAGGAGAAGAGGAAGAGGAGCAGAATTAAAATGGGAAACAAAGTTTTAAAAAATGACAGCAAGGGACACTGGCAGGTGTGAAGAGCAGAGATGAAGGGGGGTGTGGCTGTGATGAGGAAGAGTAAAGAAGTGTGTCATAACATGAAATCCACTTCTATCTCTACATCCCATTCCTATTTACACATACACTGAAACACAAGTCATACAGAATGATTACATCTACTTTATATGTTCATTTCACAGACGGCCAAACAGTCTTTGCTCCGTGCTTCGTAAAGCAAACTCGTTCAGCCACGCACATTTCCACATTATTAGACGGCACACGCAGCATTCGGAGTGGAAACTAAAACTGAGTTTGAGCGTGGATATTTCAAAACTGACTTGCATCGATAAAATTGAAGACACCGGGAGTTTTTCTCCTCCAGTGGTGTCATCGAAACGCAAATCTTAAAGAACTACGGTACCAACAGATATGGCATGCATAGAGGAGCTGCACCACAAAGACTGTATCGGCCTACACAGCACTAACCCACTGTATACACAGTGCCATAGAGAAAAGAGAAAGAGATTAAGCAAGAGACAGAGACATTTTTTTTGTTGGTTTTTTTGCATCAATTCGGAAGACGAGACGTGCTCAAGATTAAGTTCAGGACCAACTTAGACACGAGGATATAAATTAGGTCCCTGTTCTTCGCACATGGAAAAAACATTTAGCATATTCTATTTGGTTCTTTGAAGCTGTGGAGGGAAACAACAGCTCCTTCCTTGGTCGTACGTCGTCAGCCCCGAATATTATAGCAGAGACGGGCAAAGGGGATATGACTCCATTCAAAAATTGTTGGAAACATTTAGGATAATGTAAGTACACAAGTCAACAAAATAGAAAACATAGCTCTAGGTGTGTTTGGCCATTATATCAAAGAACTGTTAAGTATAATATCTCCCAACCCAGCGACCAAACTCGCCCGACTGCCGGCACAAAGATGAATCAATCGATCCTCAAACCGCTTTCAAAGAACCAAATTAGCTGGATGAGAATAAACTGGATCAATTTAGCCTGATTTATTTAAACCACATTTGAAGAACAGGGCCTTTGGACTTTCAAAATTCAAAACCTTCCTTCCCTCCAAACTGCAGCCTGCAAAGACACGTGTGTGTGTGTGTGTGTGTGTGTTTGAGCACATACATGACATATTGATCATGGAATGTTCATGACGCAACTTTTACAGGCTGAAGAGAGGGAAATCAAGTAAACAAAGACGCGCTGCTGTCGATCGATAGCGCACATACACACAGTTACACCATCACTGTGACTGCTGCTCGTCAGCCACTGTATCGACGTGTTCACCACGAGGTCCCATGAATACTACACAAGCCTAGAGTGTTCAGGTCTGTGACCACTGTTACCATGTGGTGGACAAAGTCAGTCCCACCGTGAACAACCAGCAGGTAAAAACATTTTATCCCGCTGCTTGTAGAAGTGATTATGTAGCCAGCGTGATTGTTAAACGTTATTGCCCAGTTTAGATGCTGCCGTGTGTTTTTATATGTTTGAGGGGTTTGAGTCCAGCCGGAGATGCTCGACAACTCTTCGGTTAAATGTAACTGAGCTGCACGGATCGGATCGGAGAAAAGTCTTAGTCTGCGTCTAATCAGGAAGAACCCGTCAGACTTGTATAATAAATTCGGGGTTGGTGTAGGAGAAGCCTTGAAACTCGTTCTGGTCCAGGTTCATGATGAAGAGCTTGTCTGTGGGCGTCAGCTCCACCGCCATCTTTGTGAACTCCTTGTCGAAGTTTCCGACGTCAGAGCGAGATTTCTGCCGTGGAGAGAAGAGAGGGAGGGGACAATGGGTTATAAATACAGTTCAAGTGAATTTGTAGAGCGTTTAAGGACGAGGTTGACAACGAGCAGGAAGGACGAGTGGCGTGGAAGCACAAAGATGAAGAATAGAGGAGGAAGCGAGGGAGGTTGAGGGTTTCAGCAAACAAATACACACTTTTGGTCATCGGCAGAGGGGGACAAAGTTAGTATTTGTAAAACACAAGTCTCAAGTCTGTCCAAAGTCCAAAGGTTTGTTTCAAAGCCTAAAGAAATTGTTATTTCTTCAAACTGAATATGATTTAAGCCCTGAAAACCAGTGTTCTCAGTCAGATCATCAAGCTTCAACAGTTTAGACTGCTTTCACAGGATTTATACAGTAAGAGTGAGAGTAAGTATATTACATTTACAGAAATATTAAATGTATTTTAAAATTAAGGCCGGGCCATATAGCCTAAAATTATAGTGAGAAACTGCAATGCTTTGACTTTTCATTACACTTAAAATTTCTACTCTGAGGCATTATCCATAGAAAATATCGCTCTTTTTACTCCAGATATCATTCAGCCTTAGCTTTAAATTATTTTACAGATTAGGATTAAGACTAGAAAACATAGACAATAAGAAACAGTGAATAAAAGTACAACCATTGGCCACAAAATTGGCAACTATTCTAATAATCATTACGTAACCAATCAGCTGATGAAAGTAATCGTGCAACCTATTTAGATGAGTTTAAACCAACAATAAATAATCCATGTGAGTTATGATCCCATGATATAATGTAACACAGTGGCAGGCGTCATTTTACTGCAATGAATACTTTTACTTTTAATACTTTAAGAACATTTTCCAGATTTGACTATCATATTTTTACTTCTATTCATAGGGCAGATATTTGACTTCTAGTACATTTACAGTGGTATCGATACGTCCACCAGTGGTCATGAGTCAATGTCTTTTGTGTTTGTGAAGTCACCGTCCCGTCAGTCCACACCTCTGATCATCTGTTAATGGAGGCACCACAATAAGTCGAGACTCAGCAAAACACACTGATTCCATACAAGACTGCAAGTTGACAAAGAACAAACACACCAGGCCGACAACCCCAGCGACAGTCAAAAAAAAAAAATGGAAGAGACCCACCCGAAACATATCAACAGCACAGATGCAGAAAGATCCGAGACGAACTTCTGAAGCCAGAGAGAGGAAACGTTCTGGTACAGAACAGACGAGGGTCGATAAAAACAGACCAGCTGCACACCAGACCACAACCGGAAAGGATTTCACACAGGGAAGTGAAGCAGTGAGCCCCGGGCAAGACACATGTATCACACACATCACACACATCACACAAAGCGTTTTGTTTCCTACCTCCTCCTTCTGTCTCATCACAGGGGCTTCAGGCCGAAATGAGGAGGGGCTGCAAACTTTCCAGCTCTACCACTGGTCCCAGTACTCACCACTAATTCAGCTCAGTTTTGCGTTTGAGGCGTGTGTGTGTTTATGCTAAGTTAGATTAACGATATAAAAACATTTATAATACATTCATTTTCTCACTGAACGCTCAACGAGCAACCAAATAAATGTAGGTAAATGCAGTTTCTTTATTTTGGGTGTAGTGACAGTAACAAAGCGGACACAGCATATGTAGTCTGGTAGGCACCAGTGAGTATATTATCAGTTTCAGTCATACAGGACAATTACACAATCCACAAAAGCATCTCTCTCATCCAGAACAATTGATCCAAATCTCCCTTCGATATAGAACACAGTAAATATTTTTATTCTGTTATCTCTCGTTTTGCCATCGTTCATTCATCATCATCAAAATAAGCGCTCACTTCTTTCGTCTGGCAGAACCGTCTTTATACAACAGTAATCTTGGATATCCACATGCTACCACCTCCCTTTTTGATACGAGCTCAAACAACAAGATTTGACACATTACTACCTTGCATCATTTCACAGTTACAAAAAAAGAAAATACAACCTGACTCACAATAAAATACTCATCTTCTCAGACAATTCATTTCATATATGAAAATGATTCTCCAAGGGTATTGTATTGTTTGAGAAAACACATACAGCTATAATGCATATTCTAATATTCTAATAATTATACATGTACTGCAAAATGGCACAAGATGGCTGCCCTTCATCACAGTTGTAGAGGACAAAAAGAAATTCCCACACCACCACCACATTACCTTTTCTATCTTTTGGCACTTTTGGACATCCTGTTTCTATATCTATATCAGCTCTACACGTCCCTACGGAGCTTCGTCATATGTGAAATTCTCCAAAAAATAGTGGTTTACAAGCTGAGAGATATGTCGTCTGTCATTAAAAACACAGTGTAATGTGGTGAATGTTTTCAGTAATGGATCAGTAGAAAAGTAATGACTCTCTAACTCGACGCATACTTGCACTCTTGTGCGTAGAAAGACTTAGATCCTTTCGACTGGTTTAAAATGAAATCAGCAAGAATTTCGAGATAAGCTCACCACAACACTGACGGATCGAAGAGTGAAGATTTGGTCCAAAAGACAAAAATAAAGTAGACGTTAGGACACTGATTCTCAAACGATCTTAGACAAAGCAACTGGTCAGTTTTCACTTACACTGTAGGAATATTACCAATATGTGGTCATAGTACACTCGTCAATGTTACTGATAGGTTGTCGGTGTTGATGTGCAGTTACGGAGAGACGGGGCAGGTTCAGGTCAGCCCCGATGTCGGACTCCGACCTGAACCTGCCGGTCTGAGCAGCCGGGGCGAGCAACACTTCTGCACTAGAGACAGATGCGCAGCCAGAGCTGATATGAGAGCAGCAGTGTAACATGACGACATGTTTAACCAACCAAAACAAGACTGGTCTCCTACTGGCAACTTCACACATGATCATTTCTCCTGATTGTTTGCATTGAGCACCTGTCTGCATTTCCATCCCAACATGGTTTAATGAATAGTTTGGCATTTTGGAGGAATGATTTGATTTCTTTCTTAGATTTAGATGACAGTATCAATAACACTTTTACGTCTGTAAAGAGCTGAAGTCAGGAGGGTTAACCGAGGTTTGCATAAAGATTTAAAGCCAAGAAAAACAGCAAACTTGGTTCTCTGTTAAAATACGGCTGTCAAAAGTAGAGTTTACTAATCAAGATGTTTTATCTCATATGTGTAAATTCTGCACAGGGACAAATATAGAAACGACTACAGCAATCCAAATGCAGAGCTAATTTTGATTAGCGACAGTAAAAGCTGACTAGCATCCACCACTATTGAACAAATGGAAGTTGGCTCGTCAAGATAAAAATGTTTTGGTGCTCATTTTAAGTTCAGTGCCATTAAACTACCACAGAAGAAGAGGGCGCAGCAAAACAATGGAATTCGAGGAACACCAATCAAACCCCCATAAATGTTTCTCCCACCGTCTAAAGATACGCAGAGTTGGGGTTAGGTTAATATGAGACTCTAAATTGTCCATATGTGTAAATGTAGTTGTGAATTATAGTTTAGCCCTGTGGATCACTGGCAAACTGTTCAGGGTGGAGCCCCACATCTCGCCCAGTGTCAGGTGGGATCGGGTCCAGCGCCCACTGCAAACCCCAAAGGATAAGAGTCGTAGATGATGGATGGACGAACAAACGAGACACGCAAACTAGTAAGCATATTTTGGAGTGTGAAGTTTTCCTGTGCCTGTTCCTGTTATGCAAAACCATGATAACCGCTCCCAGACTCTAGCTCCAAACTTAACGCTCCAAAGTGAGACTGATATCAACCTACTCACTTCGGCAAAGACAGCAATAAAGTGTAGTTCACAAATGCCAAACTATGTCTTCAAGGTTTCACCCTGCTGAACGCAGCCTGCGTATGGATTTATGCAGATTTGTTTTCACATTTACTCTATTTGTTGTGTATGTTTCTGAGGTGTAGGGGATTACTAGTGCAGCTCAGAGAGATGTGGCATGGTCACTGGGTTGAGTGAGGGTACTCAGGGTTAACAAATGAGAAGCCTTGGAATTCTTCCTGGTCCAGGTTGGCTATAAGCTCCTGATCTGGGGGGGTCAGCTCTGGGGGGTGGCGCGTGAAAAAGCGATCAAAGTTCTCTGCGTCACGCCCACACTGCCGTGGAGAGGAGAGGAGGGAGAGAGAGACAGAGATGGAGAGAGAGATGCAGGGGATGGAGTGAGTTCGATTTGGGATGGAGAGAAAAAAAGGACAACAACAAACGACAAAGAGAAAAAAGAGAAATACAACTAAAACATGGCATTAACCAATCAAATCACTCACAGCCGAGACTGTGGATTTCCATTGGTCCATATGTGAGCCAGTGATATCTCAGCTTCATCATTGGTGACTACACTCACAAATCTCAGCTCAGCATTTGTCAGAGTAGTGACCAATGGCAGGTGATGGTTGGGTTCGGGGGATGAGCGAGCTAATCGTTTCTACGACTTACCTTGAAAGTTTCACTAAGTGCATTGAGAGTCAAGTCTTTAGGGCAATCTGTGAAGTTCTGGTAATATTTGGCAGGTATATATGTGTGTGTGTGTGTGTACAAATATACTCACAGCTTTAGGTTTGAAAGGCGGCTGGACCTCTTTATTCTCCAGTTTTTCCCAGTCTATATAACGGAAGAAGGCGTGCTCCTTGATGTCTCTCTCGCCCTCTGGACCGCAGCCCAGACGCTTACCTGGGTGTTTGGTCATCAGCTAGAATCACACACAGAAACTATACGAGAGTTTGGACAAGGACAAGGTGTGTGTGTGTGTGTGTTGTAAGCTTCTGCTTTTCATATTTCATTGTGCAGACACAAAAAGCACATTCATAATAATGTTTCAGCATATTATTGTTTTTTGTGCTTGTGTGTTTCATATTTTACTCATCACTAAACTATGGACTATGATCATGTTTTGTCTAGGATGACTTGATTACATCTCTCCAGGGACCACAGATAAAGAAGAGCCTTACAGATATAATATGGAACAATTCTTCATCAAAATGTCTAAACACAATTCGACCTATGTGATATATTTTGTTGATTTGTGTACTTACATAATCCAAAGTGTTTCCAACAATTTTCAAACCCCCCCGATTTTATTCAGTGGGAGTGGGTTTAGATTCGACCTGTGTGTGGCATTCGAGTGTGTGCCCTCACCCCCTTGCAGATGGCAACAGCTTCTTTGGACATGGATTTGGGGTATGAGACGTGATGCTCCATGATCGATTGAAACAACTCATCCTCATCCTCCCCGTCAAAAGGCGGCTGGAGGGGCACAAATATTACATATCATTTGCGGTACTGGCGTTTCCTTTCAATAAGTTAAGGTTGCATACAAACCTGTCCAGCGAGCATTTCATACAGCAGCACTCCGAAGGCCCACCAGTCCACAGACTTCCCATAAGGCTGATAGGCTATGATCTACAAGACACAGTGATAAACTCCTGAGACTCAATCACACGATAAATGATTAAAATGAAAGTCATGTGCCAAACAACATTTAAACATATGAACAAACCTCTGGAGCAATGTAGTCTGGTGTTCCACAGAAAGTCTTCGTGGTCACTCCGTCCAACATGTTCTCTTTGCACATGCCAAAGTCGGCGATCTTGATATGTCCCTCTGAGTCCAGCATCACGTTGTCCAGCTTCAGATCCCTGAAAACACACACGTACAAATACACACAGGGGTTTTAAACGCAGCTAAACTTTCTGAAATGGTTGTTAACGGCACCTGCAGGCTGACGCTGACTCACCGATACACGATGCCTTTGGAGTGAAGGAAGAAGAGTCCGATGGCGATTTCTGCAGCATAAAACCTGAGAAACAGACAAACACTTGATAAATATACTGTGTTGTTTGTTGAGTATCACTGAATGTAAAGAGTGTATATGTGTTCAACTAAGTTATTAATGAATGGATTGCTGCAGCTTCTACCCATGTTATCAGCTGAGAGTTATGCCTTCAAAACTTGGTGTAAGGATGTGCTGAATGAAGGATGGTTCAGGGAGTAACTGATTACATTTTGGTGTGGAGGGGGCGGACCCAAGAATTCTTCTTCATTTTCTTAAACATCTCAAGAAACATTGTTTTTTGTGTGCCACTCATTGTTATGATCACATAAAACATCTTATTATTCATCTCCTCCCTGTGTGTGTACTCACACAGCATGAGGCTCCTTGAACTTGCCGACCTGTTGGATCTGGTACATGAGGTCTCCTCCATTTATATACTCCATCACAAAATACAGTCGGTCCTAGGATACAAAGATAAAGGTGTGAGGAAGCAGAGGAGAGTAAACATCAGGGGTAAATGTTTCTGCATGATGTGCTCTACCATGGTCTGGAAACAAGAGTGCAGCTGAGTGAGGAAAGGTGGTTTCCCCGCCAGAGCGAGGACTCTCTTCTCCACCATGGTGCACTCCACATCGTCATCCTGGATCACCACATCCTTCTTCAGGATCTTGATGGCGTACAACTCGTCCGTACCCTTCCTTTCAGCCAGCATCACCTGATGGAGTGAATCAAAACTGCAGATATGAACATCAGGGGAAATTTCATTTCTTTACCATCCGGTTGAGATTTTCCATCGTGGAGAATCACCTTGCCGAAGCTGCCTTTTCCCAGAACCATGATGAAATTGAAGTCTGAGAGCTTGACACGGTCCTGATTGCCATTGCTGTCGTACTTGTACATCGAGGAGGAGGAGGACGAGTCTGTGGGCTTCCCTGGACCCACCCTTGCTCTCTACGGAGAGAGGCAGTTACAGGCAGGAAACGAGCAAGATAACAAAGGGATTATGTTACAAAAAACACAAGCACAAATAAAACCAGTTATCATTTTACGTCTTTGACCCTGTTCAGACCAAGTATTAAGATCCCTCCTGATAGATGCAATCACAAGTGGACTGCGTTCTTTCTCTCACATGCCTTCCTGTTACCGCCAGAGATTGAATTCATTGTGTGTAAAGTGCTTTTGTGTGTGTGTGTGTGGTGGCGCCTATGAGAGGGAAAGACAGTGAGTGGAGTCGGGAGGGGCTGAATGAATCTCAGACAGCTTTGCTACAAAGTGTCATCATGCGCTGGTCAGTGTTGATATTGTGGTGTTGGTCACAAACAGAACAAAAACACGTTTGACTCATTGTAAAGTGTAGTGGGTCAGAGGACATCAGCTGAGTAGGAAGACCACCTTCCAATGTGTTTTGAGTGATCGGATCTTAAGACGCACTGAAAACAGATTTGGGTGCGTTCACACCTGAACTTAGCGCTGACCTCTTGAGATCAGATCACTCAGGACAGACTTTAATACCAGGTCTGAGCTGGATTTGTTGTTGCTGTGAGTCTCACCTCAAACTTTTGTCGAAGCTCCTCGTTGCCGTCCTCTCCATCCGGCTGAACAGGAACATTAAAGTATTCTCCTTCCTCCTGGGACAGCAGCTTAAACCTGAAACCCAGAACAGAAACAGAGCAATGTCACGTGAACCTAATTTTCCTCCATCTCTCCCTTCCTCAACCTGAGTCTTACCATCCATCGATCCCTTGTTTTTGTAGTTCTGATATCCCAAAGGACAGGGATCCCATGAAGTCATTCCTACTGGTCAAATCCCAGTCCCAGATCTCCACCGACAGACGGCGGTCCTTGTCACTTTCTTTTAGGTTGCTAAGAAACGAGAGAAAAAGATGAGGGACCGTCAGATGGAGGAGCAGATAAAAGAAGATAAATGAAAACCAAGGTCATAATTTGATTTTAAAGCTTCATCTTTCACATCTCCCATGATTTATTCTGATAAAGGCCTCCACATTTGACATTTTTTCATGCCTGTGCATTTCCCAGCAGTCACAATAACCTAGAGCAGCCTGAATATCAACAAGCAAAAGCAGGAAACAGAACGAGGACAGGGTCACTTGCAAGAGCTCCAGTGAGCTGCCTGCTTATGTGACAGAAAATGAGGCCAAAACCAAAACAAGTTATATTCAAACTGAGGCAAAATCTACGTCGACGAGATGTGAAGCCTAAAAACTAATGCAGGGTATCAGTGCAGAAGGAGTCTCACAAAGTGAAGGTCTCGTTCCAGGTTGGGTTGAGGCAACATTTGATGGTCTTGGTCTTCTGCTTGCTCTCGCTCTTGGGGTCTGGGATCAGTTTGAGTTTGACGTAAGGGTCTGACAGGCCGTTAGGGTCCATGGGCACCAGGTTCCTAGCTTCTTTGACTGTGGGAGGGAGGGAGGTTCAAGACATGGATAAAAATAAGTGGCAGAAGAAGAAAACATCAAAGTGGAGTTTGTCCTTTGGAGAGGACGGCAGGAGGTGAAGTCTCTGCCCTAAATAACTCTGGCTACATTTGACAACACTTAACGACAGTTTAGTTTATCTTCCATAATCAATCCACAGCTGTCTGAGCGAGAGAGAGAGAGCCTGCTAGCACGTGGATGCACCTCCCAGTGGTGATGTGGGTCAATCGTTGGATCATTGATCGACTAATGGACTTTCCAGTTTTACTCTTAGGCCGATAAAGAGCTTTGGGAGGTGTTCTCTTGCTCTCGTGTGTGCGAGAAGGGAAAAAAGCATGTGTAAAAGAGGCAAACAGAGAGAGAGAGAGAGAGATGGAGCACTCACTGCTGACGGTAAGTTTGTCCTCAGTGATCTGGGCAGAGATGTGGATGCGTCCTCTCCTCTCGGTGTGATCTGTCCCGCACAAGCTCGGAACGTTGGTCACACACCGCTTGTGGATGTTCATCATACAGTCTAAACACAGACACACACACAAACGCACAAGTCAAATTAAGAAAAAAAATGCAAGTTTGCTATAATTAGCCTCAAAATCTGTCCAGCACATGCTCGGAGTTCTACATCATCAGACTAAAGAGACACCACTGTCCTCAGGCTGCGGAACCCTGACGCCAAATGTTAAAAGACGAATTAAACAATTACTGCCCTGTGGATGTACACCTCCACCAACCAGGGCCGGTCACCATGACCTCTGACCACTGAAATTTGAGATATCAGGTACAAGAAGACAAAAATATGTTTTGCAAGGTCACCATGACAAATGTCCTTTGACCACCCAAATCAAATCAGATTCTCTTTATGCATTATAAAGATAATGCGTCCATGAGTCACTATGACCTTGAACTTTGACCCTCGATCACTAAAATCGAATCAGTTAATCTATGAATCCAAGTGAATGTATTTAGACATTTAAGGTGTTACTGAGATACCGTGTTCCAAGGCAGATATAAGAGGTCACAGCAACCTTGACCTTTGACCTTACACCACCAAAATCTAATCAGAACATTTGTACCAAGTGTTCTTGAGATATACAGTTTAAAAGAAAGGGAACCTGAAAACATAAAGCCTCTGGCGACTGTCTGTCACTGCGGAGGGGGAGTAAAAAGATTAGGTGAGAAAGGAAGCAGCCTGAGCTGAGGAGATTTTAAAGTCCCAGAAATACTGTGAGTCTCACTTCCCATAATGTGAGGCAGTGCTGTGTCATCTTATTCATTAAAGCCTCCCCGCCTGCCACATCTTTCAAACTCCATAACCTCACTTTGTAACACAGGCTTTCCTTAAGCTGACAGAAACCCCTGATGATATGACTCGGCTAATTTCTTTTCCAGACTTCAAAGAAGTCTCTGCAGAGCCGCGGGAGACATTACACAACTGTTTTCAAAGGCTGAGTGGTACTTCCCAACACCAGGAAACAGATCTTTATGTCTATAACTGCTGGAGCGACTACAGGAATATCAAAATCTGTAGACAAGAGGGAGCTCAAACCACAAAACGTATTTCAGACGAGGAGCGTTGAGGTCATTGATGCAAAACCTATGAGAATTCACTCGCCAGAAAAGATTTTTTTTTTTTTTTTTTGTAACATGGAGCTGCTGATGGAGCCAGAGGTCACTGAGCCACCTCTCCATCTCAATGCTGCAGAACCTCACCCCACTCAAATCATAATGATAACTTTATTTATATATCACTTTTCTTCACAATGTTAGAAAGTGCTTTAAAAGGAAGAAACAGGAAAATATAAAACAATGGAACATGAGCAGAGAAAGTTATATAAATAAATAAGGAGGATTAGTCTGGGTTAATATGAGCTTATGTCAATCATAAGCAAAAGGGATTTAAAAGAAGGTGGAGAATTTTGTTTGTTTAAGTATAATGGGGAGCGAATTCCAGAATGCGGGGGCTGTGATGACAAAGGCTGGGTCACCCTGAGGCCACCAGCGAGGCGCCATCCCTAGATCTTGGCGGATGACAGGGGAGATACCAGGTCAATAAATCTGAAAGGTATTTGGGTGCAAGGTCAATCAAGGCCTCAACAGCATTATAGAATTTTAAAATCAATACGACATTTAACAGGGAGCCAGCGTATGGAGGCGAGCACAGGGGTGATATGGTCATATTTATTTGTGCCGGTTATGAGCCACGCAGCAGCATTTAGTTTTAACTGAGGACAATGGAGGGAGCTCTGGCTGATAACAGAGTAAAGTGCATCAAATCAATGCAACAGGATATTATAGAAACTTTTTGCAATGCAGCAAAGTGATGGAAATTACTTAATTTTGCAAATTGCGTTGAGGTGAAAGAAGCCACACTTAACATTCCTCAGATATTTGATTCGACAGATCTCTTTCTTTATAAAGGCACCAGTTCTTAGATACCAGAACACCGGCAGGTTTGCAGGGTAGCTGTCAGACTGGTTGTCCAACTGTGTGTAGTTCTTCCTGACTCTGGCTGCAAGTTTGAGGTTGTTGTAAAGCTTCAGAATGAATAAGGGACCAATCAGACTCCTCCCTGGTGGTTGCGTGACAGATAAGAACTTAAAGATCCGAAGTGCCAAAAAAGTATCTGGGACAAGCAAAAATCTTGTAATCTGCAATTATCCCATCGGACACGTGGTCCATGTGTTTGTCCTTGAAGAGCATGCCTTAAAATGTGACTCAGTTAATGACACAAGTACCTGAGTCACATTAAAAGCCCATGAAACGTCTCATAATCAAGTAACAGCCCTTTTACATGTAATTTAACTGTATTTGTCGTACATCAATTAAGCTGCAAATCCCTGTGGCCCTGAACCCCTTCACTGTAATTGGATTTTTTAAATTATTATTTTTACAGTTTGAATCTACTCTATCTTCAGCTCGTGTGCATTGAAATATATATATATATATTTGTATTGCTGAAGTTTCTCTCTGTGTGTATGCAGTAATCCGTGGTGGCTGTTATTGTTTAAAACCAAATAAAGTGTTCATCATAATGATGGGACTTTGTTTTAGATTAATATGCACAGTACAGCAGTGAGTAAAGCTGCACAGGCAAAAAAAAAAAAACAGGTAATACTTCTATTTCCTAATGTTCAACAGTGAAAAGAAAGATGTGATGTAATTGCTCAGTGTGTCCACTTGATGTCAGACTGCTCCGATAGACGATGTTTACCTCCACTCAGATCAGTGGGTGGTACTGAGGTCCTGTCAATAACCTGACTCTGCTTCATCTCCATCAGTTAGTGCACTGAACACATCCTTTATTCATGTTACTTTACTTTGAGACACTGTACGATTACAGATTTAATCCACTCAGAGGGATGACGGACCCAGAAGTAAAAAAGTGCCTGATGCAGCAGAACGTCTCACATCTTAGTAGAAAATATCTCAACCTCTAAAACATCCTGCTTGTGTATTAAGAGCTTTGTAGCTTCGCTGTAAGTTCCTCCAGCACCAGAGAGAACAAAAGACAGAGTTAGGAGGGACTGGATCCTGAGCTTAAAGACTACTGTGGTCTCACTTCAACAAATACATATCAATGCAAAGAGGAAGTTTGACAAATAACATAATTTAAAATATATGAATACAATAATAATAAAATGAAAGGATGTAAAAGTTAGATTTTCCAAAAATTCAAAGAAAGTTGTAGATTCAGTGAGTAAAATATGAGTAAAATATTTGTTAATCAGTTTCTCTTTTGCATAAAAAAAAAATCAGCATGTGACTTTTTTTTCCAGCTGACAAATCAAATCATCACAATCTAATGGGTTCATTATAATTCAGCTCCAATGTTACTGGATAACAAAGCGACAGCAGTGTTTTCCATATTTACTGCAGTTGGGGATGATTTAATGTGGAGATAATGAGCTGTGGAACAAACTGGAGTTTGATGAGTGACGTGTCAGAGGAGACTGGTGATCAGTTCTGCAGACTGAGCATCTCCAGGGTTTCTGGTTTGTTTGGATTTGGTCGGTGAGTCCACTGTATCCATATTAAATTATCATCTTTGACGTGTATCAAAAGCTCATTATTATATTTTTACTAAACACTGACGTGATGAGGCACATCACCTGCAGCACAATACTAACTGTGACTTCAGGATGAACTGATAAGATGCTGGATACAGGAAGAAAAAGAGGCATCTTCTAAAGTTAAATTATACAGATAACTATGTCACACACTTTTTAATAAACATAATTACCTAACAAAGTAAGTGGAGAAGGAGAAATCCCTTCACTCTTACATATGTGTTATCAGGGTTAACAAATTATTTACTTAATGTGCAAATGTTTTGGGCACTGCAGCTGTTTTGCTTTTTTTACCCATCATGCAATGCCATCAGAGAGTTGTCTGATCAGTCTCAAATTTATTCTGCAGCATGACAACGGCTTCAAACATTCAGCCAGAGTCATAAACAACGACAGTATCTTCAGTCCTGTAACAGATGGCGTGGGCCCCCGCGGAGCCCTGATCTCAACATCACAGAGTCGTCCTGGGTTGACATGAAGAGACAGAACACAGACGTTCTCCACGAACAACAAACCTGCCAAGTACCTTGAGAATGACGTGTGCAGGTGAACTTCGGAGAACTGGCGCACATTTAAACCCAAAGAGTGGTCACGGAAAAAATGAATTTGGTTTAGTTTGATGCACTTTGTGTGACGTTAACAGATAAGAACTATTCATGGCATTATTTTCAAAGCACCGTCCTTTTGCACAGAGTTGTACATCCTCTTCTTACCTCAGCTCTTTTCTGAGGTTCCTGTTCAGAAATTGCATGCCTAAAATGAATACAGCATTTCTCTGCAGCTACAGGGTCTAAATGAATAATCTTGGTATCTATGTAAAAGGTAACACTTAGAATATGAAAAGATTTCATTTCCATCAAGTTTACAATTTTAGGGTGAAGCTGCTATGAAATCATTTAGATGTAGCACACATCAGGTTTTAATAGAGATATGTTTTGAGATTTCTTACTATAAAACGATTTTTTTTCCCAAAGAATCTGCTCAAAGCTCTCTGAATAGCACTCAGTGTATAAATGACTTCACCAGCAAAGATGGCTGCACCGGTATCCAGGCGTAATTTTTGTACAACAGGAGGAAATGGAGATCCATTTTCGACGTTTATATACAGTCTATGGTTCAAACTAAACCAAACAGGTCAAGCATCAAGGCAAAAAGCACTGCTGCACATATGTTTTAAAAAAAAGTGGTGCAGCAGATTCTTTTTTAGAAATTGTCTTGAACAGAAAAAAACAGAAAAAGGAAGACGTAAAACATTGAGCAAGAAAAAAAGAACAAAAAAAATCAAGTATATGACCTCGGACCTGCAGCAGGCGACCTGTTAGTGACTTCGAATTCACACTAAAACCACACGGGGTGAGGTGTTTTGGCCACAATACAACACTTATTTTCTGTGAAGTGGAAGTGCAAACCCGTGATATACAAGTCAGGCAAAATGGGAAGTTCTGCTTATAGCCCAGACAGACACACACACTTCCGTACTCACGGTCACATTTCATGCCCTGGTGTATCAGCCCATACAGGAGGGAGCCACAGTGGTCGCAGAAGGTGGGGCTGGAGTAAGTGTGGACCTTAAACTTGTGTTTACTCCGAGGATCCTGCAGAAGCACAAACAAAGAGTAAAAGTAATCAATGTGGTAGAGTTCCTGTTTCCATTGAAACATGATCTATAACAGACAGGATATTTACTTCACTTCTTCTGAAGTCTAACCTTTCAGAAAGCTTAGGTTTAATTTGTCCCCATAGGAACTATCTGCCCGATAAAGTATGTGCTCATCAGAATGATTCAGTCGTGCTACAACCATAATAAAAACATTGTATTTTGATGAATGTCGACTCTTCAAGGAGGAATTTCAAACAGCATTTTGGACTCTGGCTGCAGAGATTTGCTCAGTGAAGTCAACCAGATGTTAGATGATAGGATCTGGCTCACAGTCCAGGTTCCAGTTCGTCACAGAGGTGTTCAGGTGATGGATGGGGTTACGGTCAGGGCTCCGACACTTCTTCCATAAATGTAATTTTGAGAACAAGGTGTTTAAAAATCTAATGTAAACACATCTAAAATATTGATTCAATATCACATTCTTTTCACTTGATCATGACAAATCACGTTGTATTCACATTACTGAAGAAACTAGATGATGTTGACAAACGCCCCATTTCTCCATGTTAAAGAGAAAAAAACGTCCTGATCCACATGTGCATCACACTTCAATGGATTCTTCCCTGACTCATACCACCTCCTTCCACCGATTTTAATGGAAACCAGTTTAGGTGGTTTTGTGTAATCCTCCTGACAATTCAACTAACGGACATGGGTGAAAACCTCGTTGGTGGGGGTAAAAAAAATAGAAGAGATCGTGCCATTTTACATTTGCGTCACCCTAGAATTGCCCTCAAGGGACAAAGTTGTTTTGAAATGAATTTAGCAACAACGGTAATTTTGTTACCAGGAGATTTCAACATTTCACATCAAACCTGGAAGCTGCATCAACCTCAGATATTTTTCACACATCGATGCGTTGTTTAATAAACTGCATCTGCCCCGAGCCATCCCAACACACCACACACACACAGAAGAACAAGGCAGCGTGCACATTTCTTCACAATGCAAATACAACAAAATCAAAAATATCCTGTGACAAAAGTCACACTTTAGTTCATCTGTTTCAGATTTTTGATGCCATCCCAAAACAAGGTGAACAGAATTAATGATTTGGTGTCATCCTTTAAATATTTCCTCCATTACGAAAAAGAGCAAGAACCAAAACACCGCAAGAGAAAGTGGAGCACTGACCGAGTGAGTCTGCAGGAAGTACAAAAATAGGAAACAACTAAACGGCTTTGGTGACAACAACACAGAAAGAAATCGAGATTGATTAACATCAAGGAATATGGTGGGTGGGTGTGTGTGTGTGTGTGTGTGAGCGAGCGAGCGTGTGAGTGAGTGAGTGAGTGTACGTGTGTGTGTCAATGAGAGATATTGGCTCATTAACCTGAGGCAGCCAGGCAGCACATTTTCTCCTTACTGACATGTCTCAGGGTGATTTGGAGCCAAAAGGTCACCAGGGGAGTGCACGAGAGGTGTTTATGTGCGTGCATGCGTGCGTGTGTGGAAGATTGTGCTTTTACGATCCTTGTGAAGACATTTCTGCTGTAAAGCTCCTTTTCCACTGGTCAAAAAACCCAATAACAACCACTAACATGTGGCTTTGTGTCTGTATCTGCATTCACTCCTGGGTCAAATGACTCTGCAGCAGACACAGGTTATAATCTGCTTATTAATCGAGGTATAAAACTTCTACTTCAGAGAACAGTTTGTAAGTTGAGAAAGAGGTTAGAATTTAGAATCAGGTTAGGGCTCATAGTCCTCATTTGTACCGAGAGACAAAATGTATGTGTGTGCATGTGTATTCATTAAGCAGCACATACATGAAAGTACATGGACGGACAAAAAGTTGTGACAGTGCTGATCTTGCAAATGTTATTAACAAGCATCATTAGAATCACTAACCATGAGCACAATTAATATTTAACTTGGACACAAGTGGAGGGATCTGCTTCACTGTTCATCCTCAGAAAACATTTTTAACGCCTGACTACAAATAAAAAAAACTAAGAATTAAATAAAGAAAGTAGATGTAGTTGTGTTTGCATGTTTTCACTTACGTCCGACGCTGGTCCCTTGTCGGCCCCCGGACAAGAAAAGGTGACAAACTCATGACAGCGCTTATGGACTACAAAACAGCACACTGTGGAGAGAGAGACAGAAACAAATCCATCAACAACACAACAGCAACAAAGACATGATTCAATGTCAATATGTAACATTAGTAACTGCACAATAAGCTCCTCATATTTCAGCAGTTTCCATTCGTCCAGTTTTTGCTTTTCAACGTCTATATTTAGTTTTATTGCTTCAGTTTGGATGATTTTAGATTTAACTGCAGTGTGGAGCTGGGACAGCTCATTATCACACCCCAGAAGATTAAAGCTGCAACAGGAACCTTCTCACGTTGGCAGCTTCAAATGGCTGCAGGCTCCTGCTGCAGGCTCCTCCTGCCAGGCACCTGATGAGACTGTATGTTCCTGCTCACTGCTTCAATCATTCAGCACACACTGACTGAAATAAACATCCGGCACACTCCCAGCCTGATATAGTACAGGGATGATGGTCCCATTTACAAGGAAACTGCAAGGACAAAAAAACGCTTAAATGGAAGCTCAGTCGCTGATGATGAAGACAGAAACACACTCAAAGGACAGTCAGGCTTTTAGAGAAGTCTACTTTGTTCTTGTCAGGAGCTGTGCATGGTTGGAAAAAGGCGACTCGACTGTTTTTGAAGATGTTTCACTTCTCATCCAGCTCAGTTCCGGCCTGAAGTAGCCGCTCTGATGAGACGGAAAAACAGCCTCAAGAAACTCAAGGAAATCCGGTCGCCTGTGTGAAGCTCCTGAAGATACCACAACCTGGAAGACTGAGATTCTTCTCACACGTACTTTTTTCTGAATATAACTGACTTTTCCATCAAGATCTCTCCATTATTTCGTGAGCAATTCGCAAAAATCAATCTTGCGATAATATCCTGGATCTGGCCCCCTAATCGAATCTGCTCCAAACATTAATGAGTAATAATTTGGCCTATTACACATCCTCCCACCAAGTTTCAATAAAAATGGTTCAGTAGTTTTTGTGTAACCCTGCACAACACATACAGAGACACACAATTAACCCCAATCAAAAGGTCTTTGGACGGTCGGAGGCCAGAGAATACCTGCAGAAAACTTCCACAGACACGAGGAGAACATGCAAACTCCTCGCAGACACAGAACCGGGAACCTTCACTGTGCATCCACCCACTTATCTGAAATCATCTCCGAAATGTAATGGGTTCTTTGTTGGGTCACACCCCACAGCTCCACAGAATTTCATTGAAATCTAATCAGTAGTTTTTGAGGAATCCTGCTAACTTCTTAACAAACAGACAAACACTTATAAGAACAGAACCATGGTGGTGGAGATGATAAAAACCTCAGCTCCGAGATAAAAGGCTGCAGAGTTAAAAAAAAAAAACAATAACGTGTGAGGTTTAGTTTCACTACAATATATCAAAGACCCAGACAATCAAAAACCAAATATATTCAAATTCAAGTTTAATCACAGAATCAATGTGGGTCTTCTCTCTGCTTTACATGTTTATATACTGTATATAAATATTTTTACATTTGTTGGATAAAAGTCGCAAGAAGTCATTACTTCTGGATTTTGGAAATTGTTTTGTTTTCAACATGTTTTGACATTTGAGACATTAAACGATTGATTGAGAGAAGAATCAGCAGACTGATCTGATTGCTTCAGTGGGAGAGAAGGTCTGTTTGCTATCTATGATCCAAAAGACTGATCCATCCGAGCCAAGTTCAGGAAACTGCATACAGGCGTTTTTCTCACTCTGGGTCAGACGGAAATAAAGGACAATCCATCCCTTTAAATTTTGATCAGCCACATCTACAGATCAAGACACGAACAAGACCAACACCAGAATTCCATTTAGATAAATAGGTCAGATCGACTGCAGCTCGACTTGGTGATCTGCTTCCTGTCGCTGCTGGATTTTTATAGTCTAATCGGAAGCATTGCTGAATTTAGTGACTTCCACTTTACAGTGACAGTTTCTACTAAAATGTGATTAGGACATCAATACAGTTCACACACACACACACACACACACA